AGCTGCGAACCTGCATCTTCAGGGGGAGTGGAACCCCGTCTAACACAGGCTGTCACCCTATACCCTGTTCGGCCTTATTATTATTATTAATTATTATTATTATTATCCAGTAACATCTGGGGACACAAACAGAGTAAAAACTAAAGAGAACTGACCACTATGCCATTTTAACATTGTTAGGAATTATGGGAGTTGAAGTCCAAAACACCTGGAGGGAAGGCCCTGCCCAAGTTGGCCCATGCAGGAACTAAACATTACGAAGAACTTCCTGAGGCTCAAAGGAGATGACAGCAGAATGGACGCCTTCAAAAGCGGACGGATGAGCCTTCCTTCACCTGAGGGTTTCAGCAGAGGTCTCAGGCCTGCCTCTCACGCAAATTTATATTGTTGGTATTGATACTGTCGGCACTGAATTGTTGCCTGGGTTGGTCGCCCTGAGTCCCCCCGCGGGGGTGAGAAGGGCGGGGTAGAAATGGTCTAAATAAATAAATAAATAAATTGCCCATGAGCACAAGGACTGTCCTGCTCACCACATGGGAGGCAAAGCCCCGCCAATGACTCAGTGCTATTGTAAACCACAATGCCATCTAAAATTGTGGCTGATGGCGAAGATGCTCCCACAAACCCTTCTTCTGTTCCCAGCTGATTTGGAGAAAAGGAAGGCTGCCTGTTGTGGCTGAGATGTTCTCTGATGATGAGGATGATGGGATTCAGATTCCTGGCTCTTTTTCTGTGCCTCAGATCTCTGGGCCTGCTTCTAGGTCTTTTTCTGAGGCCTCCACAGACAGGTCAGAGTCAACACAGCGGTTCTCAGAAGAAAAGAATTTTAACGAAGTAGATAGCGAACAGGTGGAGAGGCCTTTGCCTCCTTCCCACGCTGATACTGAAAGTGCAGAAAGCCTTGATAGTGACCTGACCCGGCAAGCCTGTCTTGATTTGCGGGTCAGACGAAGTTTTCGCCTGGCCGGCAGGCGAGAAACCAGCTTGGGAAAAGGTCATCGCAATGCTTTCATGTTGGTGAGAGCATAATGTTTTCATGTTAGAAACACGCAAACGAAGAGGAAGCATCAGTTCAACGTAGCTTGTTAGCCTGAAAGCTGCATGGAATAACCTTAGCTGGAAAGCAGCATGCTTGGGATTTCTTGCTTTGTGATTCTTGGGGAAATTGTTTTACTGCTTGTACCATGGACTCTGTTTTGAACTTTGCCTATAGAATTGTGCCTCTTGTTTTCACCTGAAGATCTTTGGAACTATATTCTGCATTTAACCTAAATCTTTGGAACTTTGCAATGCTTATAATTCATTTTGACTTTTTTTTCTCAATAAACTATAAAGCTACAGCTCTTGTGTGGTGGTGTTTGGAAGTAAGGCGAAGCTTACTCTGAGTTGCAACACTGCCCCCCAAACCCGGCGCCAGGCTTACCTGAGTGCGCAGCAGTTCTTCCTGCAGCTGGTCCACCTTCTCTTTGTCGGAAACCTGCAATGAGCCAAAGGCCGGGCGTGAGAAACTGCACTCAGAACACAAGCGACTAACCCTGAAGGGCAGAAGGCACCCGCTCCCTAAGAAGCGTCCGGCCAAGACCTTCCATCAAACTGACCGCCTGCGACAAAAAGCAAAGAAGGGAGAGAGACAGAATCTCAAGGGAGCTTTTGTCCTGACGCCCGCAGTCTCCGTCTTCCAGGGATTGGGATCACTTTCCAGGACACACCACACTCACTCCGGAATGCTAAAAACAACATGGGAACTAAGCCGAAAAGAATTAAGTTGCAGAGCCAGAAAGACATTGCAGGCATTCAGAAACCATCATCCTGCAGAGAGGTGTGGAGGTTGCCAGAGAGAAGGGAAGGAGAGAAATGGAAGCGTGCAGCGTGACAGGAACTGAGCCCTTTGCATCGGAATGGAACCTGGGAGCTTGTTCCTGCACCCAAAGAAGGCGGTGAACTTATAGGCTTGTGCAGTCGTGGCTGAAGAAGGGGATTGCTGGGATTCAGCCCCACACTCCCCAAGTCTCAAGTCCTCAACGAGGAGCAGTTCGTTCGTTTAATATAGACTAAGGGTTTCCCTTCCCCCATGTCTCCTGTATGACAATTGGAATGTATTTAATTTATACTCTCCTCTCTGTTTTTGCCATCAGACTGGAAAAATCCACTTATATCCCCATACCAAAAAAGGGAAATGCGAAAGACTGCTCAAACTTCCGTACAGTGGCCCTTATTTCTCATCATGCCATTAAGGGAATGCTCAAGATCCTGCCAGGAAGACTCCAGCAATACATGGAGAGAGAGTGGACAAGCTGGGTTTAGAAAAGGCAGAGGAATGAGAGACCACATGGCCAATATCCGCTGGATAATGGAGAAAGGCAGGGAGTTTCAGAAAAACATCTACTTCTGTTTTATTGACTATTCTAAAGCCTTTGACTGTGTGGATCGTAATAAATTGTGGCAAGTTCTTGGTGGTATGGGCATCCCAAGCCACCTTGTCTCTCTCCTGAGGAATCTGTACAAGGACCAAGTAGCAACAGTAAGAACTGACCATGGAACAACAGACTGGTTCAAGATTGGGAAAGGCGTACAGCAGGGTTGTATACTCTCACCCAACCTATTCAACTTGTATGCAGAACACATCATGCGATGTGCGGGGCTTGACGAATGCAAGGCTGGGGTGAAAAGTTGCTGGAAGAAACATTAACAACCTTAGATATGCAGATGACACCACTTTGGTGGCCAAAAGCGAGGAGGAGCTGAGGAGCCTTCTAATCAAGGTGAAAGAAGAAAGCGCAAAAGATGATTGACAACTGGAAAATAGAGGGAGAAACCGTGGAGGCCGTGACAGACTTTGTATTTCTAGGGGCAAAGATTACTGCAGATGCAGACTGTGGACAGGAAATCAGAAGACGCTTACTTCTTGGGAGGAGAGCAATGTCCAGTCTCGATAAAATAGTGAAGAGTAGAGACATCACACTGGCAACAAAGATCCGCATAGTCAAAGCCATGGTATTCCCTGTAGTCACCTACGGATGTGAGAGCTGGACCAGAAGGAAGGCTGAGCGAAGGAAGATCGATGCTTTTGAGCTGTGGTGCTGGAGGAAAGGGTTGAGAGTGCCTTGGACTGCGAGAAGATCCAACCAGTCCATCCTCCAGGAAATAAAGCCCGACTGCTCATTGGAGGGAAGGATAGTAGAGGCAAGATGAAGTACTTTGGCCACATCATGAGAAGAAAGGAAAGCTTAGAGAAGACAATTATGCTGGGGGAAATGGAAGGAAAAAGGAAGAGGGGCCAACCAAGGGCAAGATGGATGGATGGTATCCTTGAAGTAGGAAATTTAGGTACCACTTATGCGGGGAGGCTAATTTATGATGCCATAAAAATCTCCAGCAAGCATGCAAAGAATGAGGAAGTACTTCATCAGTGTCACAAATGGACGGTGAAGCGACAGCTCCCCTGGTGGCCAGAATACCCTCATGAAAAAGCTGGAATGTTAAATTGCCTCTGTGTCTGTCTATATATGTTGTGTATCTATGGCATTAAATGTTTGCCATGTATACGTACATTGCAATCTGCCCTGAGTCCCCTGCGGGGTGAGAAGGGCGGAATATAAATACTGTAAATAAATGAATAAATAAATAAGCATAAGGAAGTGAAGAAGCCAAGGCACGAGCTGCCTTCCTTTGGCCCTGCTCTCATTGAAAGGCAGACTGCCAGAGAAGGGCGACCAAAATGGCCACCGATCGAGAAACTATGAACTCCTCTGAAGAGGGGCTTCGGAAGCTGGGGGTGTTTCGCTTGGAGAAAGGAAGGTCGAGAGAAAGGGAGATGGGAGCTATGGAGAAATACTTGAAAGGAGGCCTCGTTGAGGAGGGAAACTAGGACCCAACAGAGCAAAGAGATTCCATGTAAACATTAGGAAGAACTTCCTGAGGGTCACAGCTGTTGGAGAGAGGAATCTTCTGCTGGTGCCCAGAAGTCCACGGGAGGCCCCTTCTTTCTCTGGAGGCTTTGGAGCAGACACTGTGCCATTCAGCCAAGGCCCTGTTCCCAAAGGGGAGATCAACCAACAGCCCAAGTCCAAACCACAGAGATACAAAATGCAGAGAATAACCACAGGGAAACCAATAGTCCGCTCCAGATCCAGTCAATTCCAACGAAGAATTATGGTTAATCATGGTTAATCCAAAACCCCAAATGCCAGAGTCCAAGAGATAGGCCAGAGCCCAGAGACCGCCAACAACCGAGGTCGTGGTTCCAAAGGCTGAAGTTGCTGCCAGCGAGAAGGGGCCACTCTTGGGCCCCTCTTGTGCCAGGTCCTCAGGTGCTGCTTACTGAGAGTGTGTTTCTCTGCACAACGGAGGAGAGCGACTCAAATGATCAAGGGTCTGGAGAACAAGCCCTATGAGGAGCAGCTTAAGGAGCTGGGCATGTTTAGCCTGAAGAAGAGAAGGCTGAGAGGAGATATGATAGCCATGGATAATAAATATGTGAGAGGAAGCCACAGGGAGGAGGAGGAGGGAGCAAGCTTGTTTTCTGCTTCCTTGGAGACTAGGACGCAATGGAAGAATGGCTTCAAACTACAAGAGAGGAGATTCCACCTGAACATGAGGAAGAACTTCCTGACTGTAAGGAGAGCCGTTCAGCAGTGGAACTCTCTGCCTCGGAGTGTGGTGGAGACTCCTTCTTTGGAAGCTTTTAAACAGAGGCTGGATGGCCATCTGTCAGGGGTGCTTTGAATGCAATATTCCTGCTTCTTGGCAGGGGGTTGGACTGGATGGCCCATGAGGTCTCTTCCAACTCTTTGATTCTATGATTCTATGACTATTAGAAGAGGCGATCATCCTGGAAATATTGCAACTGGAGAACAAGCCCTATGAGGAGCTGGAAGGAACCCTCCTCCTTCCCTCTGCCTGCTCAGGCAGACCTGCTTGCATTTGTCCTGCAGGATGAGAAGGGAAAGCCTCCTTCATCGGCTCTCCTTCCAAGCTCGGCTGCTAGGCCCCGGCTCCAAGGCTGGCTCTTCAAGCAGCACCTCCTTGCTCTTGCTGCCAGAGCTATGATCCATGACAGGCTGGATGGCCATCTGTCAGGAGGGCTTGGGTTGTGCTTTCCTACATGGCAGAAGGGGGTTGGGCTGGACGGTGTTTGGGTCTCTTCCAACTCTAGAGTTCTAGGAGAATATTCTACATTTCTATGAACAGGTGAGCACTCAAATGAGCAGCAGAACTCCTGGAAACAAAGCCAAGTGTAATTCTCCCACAAATCTCATGTTTGTCATTAGAAGTTAGATCACAGAATACACTGTGCTAGGAGGGAGGGTTATAGAGAAGCCCAATCAATTAGATCCATGTGATTTTAAAATAAATCGATTGCAAGATCACTGCCAAGACCCACAACCAGCGTTCAATCAGGGATTTGTGTGTGGATTGCAAATCACTGTGCTGGATTCATGGTGGGGGGAGAATTGGGGTGGGGGTGGGGAACCCAAGGGCACCCGGAGTGTGTTATTCTGTTATTTTGGGGGGTGGGGGTGGGTGTCCCCGAGGCATCACCTTTCGCTTCTGCTGCTGCTGCTGCTGCTGGGAGGAGCCGAACTGGTCCCTGCGCGAGGTCTCCTCTTCGTGCTGCTGGATTTGCTGCTGCAAGAAAATGAGTTCTCCCAGGAGGCCCTGCCGCCAGTTTGCAATGAGAGGAAGGAAGGTGGGGAGAAGGAGAAAGAAAATGGAGGTGAGGGGAGCCGTCACGTTAGACCAAAGGAACGCAACACAGGTGGGCACAGCGGGATGGACACGGACACACGGAGGGAGGGCGGCGGGTGAAAAGCGGCGTATGCGGTGCCAGCAGGCAGAGGCGAAGGAGAGCAACCGAAGCCTATGTGGACAAAGCTTCCGCTCCTGAGCAACACTTTGGATTCAAAGGAGAAATGCCGCCAACGGCCTGGTCGGGACAAAAGTGCCTTCAACACTCCCTCGACAGTTCACACAGATTCTACTCTCAGGAATGGGTCGCGTAAAGCAAGAAAATAAACATAATAAACATAATAATAATCAACATAATAAAAATAAACATAATAAACATAATAATAATACTGCAAAGACTCTGGCACAAACCAGTAAAGGTGGTCCCAGTGGTGGGTGCAGTGCCTAAAGACCTTGGCCTGCACTAAAACACAATCGGCACTGACAAAATGACCACCTGCCAGCTGCAAAAGGCCACCTTACTGGGAGCTGCACGCATCATTCGCCGATACATCAGACAGTCCTAGACACTTGGGAAGGGTCTGGCGTGTGATCCAATCCAACAGCCAGCAAGCAGGGTGTCTTCTGTGGACTCATCTTGCTGTGTTTCAAATAATAATAATAATATAGAGGAATTCTCTGAGAAGCATGAAAAATGCCCAGCTGCATTTGGGGTGGAATGGGCTTCCATTCCGGGATTTTTTCTTCCCAGACAGCCATCTCTTGTGTCCAAAACACCGGGCACCCACAATAACCAAGGACAACTCCAGGATTCTACACTCCAGACCTGGGCCATTTAGAGATTTATAGATCATCACCAGCCCTTTAAATCCTGACCAGGAACAGACTGGCAGCCAGTGGGGCCGCTGTAACAAGGGTGGGGTGGGGTAGGATGTGGAGTGCACCCCGTCGCCAGCCCCAGTGAGCAGGCTGGCCGCAGCCCTTTGAAGTCCAGCTGAAGTTTCCAAACACTCTTTAAAGGCATCCCCACGGAGAGTGCATGACGGTCACTCAGACGGGATGCCACTAAGGCATGGACTACCACTATCACTAGGGGACTCCTGCTCGACTCCTCGGCCATTGCACTGTGGAGTCCCACAGGGCTCAATACTGTCCCCTATGTTGTTTAACATATACATGAAGCCGTTGGGAGAGATCATCCGGAGTTTTGGGGTGCGATGTCATCTGTACGCAGATGATGTCCAACTCTATCACTCTTTTCCACCTGCCACTAAGGAGGCTGTTCAGGTCATGAACCGGTGCTTGGCCGCTGTCACGGACTGGATGAGGGACAACAGATTGAAACTAAATCCAGACAAGACAGAGGTACTCCTGGTCAGTCGTAAGACCGAACAGGGTACGGGGTTACAGCCTGTGCTGGATGGGGTCACACTCCCCCTAAAAGCACAGGTACGCAGTCTGGGAGTTCTCCTGGATTCATTGCTGAGCCTGGAACCCCAGGTTTCAGCGGTGGTTAGGGGAGCATTCGCACAATTAAAACTTGTGCACCAGCTGCGTCCGTACCTTGGGAGGGCTGACTTGGCCACGGTAGTACACGCTTTGGTTACATCCCGCTTAGACTACTGCAATGATCTCTACGTGGGGTTGCCTTTGAAGACTGCCCGGAAGCTGCAGCAAGTCCAACGCGCGGCAGCCAGATTACTAGCGGGTGCTGGGTACAGGGAGCACACCACTCCACTGTTACTCCAGCTCCACTGGCTGCCAATTAGCTTCCGAGCACAATTCAAAGTGCTGGTGTTGACCTATAAAGCCCTAAACAACTCCGGCCCTGTTTACCTCTCCGAACGTATTCTCCCCTACGAACCATCAAGATTACTAAGATCATCTGTGGGGACGAGGGACAGGGCCTTCTCGGTGGTGGCCCCACGACTCTGGAACTCTCTCCCTCTGGAGGCCAGAACCGCCCCATCCATCCTAACATTTAGGAAACGGGTGAAGACGTGGCTGTGGAGTCAGGCCTTCGAGGAATGAGACAACACCATAGGACCCTGGATGGAAGTTGAGGTAGATCCATCTTAATAGGACGACTGACCACTGTAGTTTTATATATAGTGTTTTTAAAGTTGTTTTTGTAATTGATATATGATATTTTAATGAGTGTATATGTTTTTTTATGGCTGGAAACCGGGCTGAGTCCCTCAATGAGGTTGACTTGGCTCCGTCTAGAAAACTGAAATAAATAAATAAATACCATGGCCAGACTGGGCTTCTCAAGGAACGGGAGCGGTTTGCGCACAAGTTGTAATTGTGCAAATGCCCTCCTGGCCATCACAGACACCTGGGCCTCCTGGTTCAACACAGAGTTCAGGAAGACCCCGAAAATGCAGGGCCGTGCCTTCAGGGGGAGTGCGACCCCTTCCATCCAGCACAGGCTGGATCCCTATTCCCTGACCTGCCTTCTAAAGACCAGGAGCACCTCCTTCTTGTCTGGATGAGTAGAGTTGGGGGCCACCTGCATAGAGATGGCACTGCACTCCAAAACTACAAACGGCCGCTCCCAACGGCTTCATGCAGATGTTAAACAGAACGGGGGAGAGGACTGAACCTTAAGGGCCCCACAGGCCGGTGGCCAAGGAGTCCAGCAGGAGTCCCCCAGTCCCTCCTCCTCAGGACATCCCTCTAGGAAGGAACGGAGCCACGGAAGAACTGGACCTCCATTGCCCAACCTAGAAAGGCGACTCAGAAGGATACCATGGTCAATGGTATCAAAGCTGCCGAGAGGTCCGGGGGAACCAAGAACGACACACTCCCCATCTAGATCTCTTCATAGGTCACCCATTAAGGCAGTGGTTCTCAATCTGGGGTCCCCAGATGTTTTTGGCCTACAACTCCCAGAAACCCAGCCAGTTTACCAGCTGTTAGGATTTCTGGGAGTTGAAGGCCAACAACACCTGGGGACCTCAGGTTGAGAAGCACTGCATTAAGGTGACCAAAGCTGTCTCTGCTCCACGCCCAGCCGGGAAGCAGACTGAAATGGATCTAGATCAGGCCTGCACAACTTGCAGCCCTCCAGGTGCTTGGGCTTCCGACTCTCAGAAGTCCTAGCCAACTTGTCCAGTTGCCAGGAATTCTGGGAGCTGAAGTCCAAAACACCGGAAGGACCACAAGTTGTGCAGGCCTGGTTTGGATAATCTGCATCATTTAGGAAGCCACCACACTCCCCAGGACCTTGCCCAGAAATGGAAGGCTGGGCATCATGAGGGACCCACTGTTGGTACCCTGCATTAGAAGAAGACTTTGGTGACAGAATGGGTGTAAACACTGTAATGGTTAAAAAAAGCCCAAAATGTCCAGCAGGCCAACCACAGGACCAAATCGAGTAATCAGACACACGAAAGCAGGAGAACTCAGCGAGTGCTCTTGTGCCTCCTTTGTTAACAGCGCACGTTGAATCAAATGGCCGTTACACTCAAAGCCTGGCTTTTGCAGGATCACTCTGGGGCTCAGCAACTTTTGGGTGGGGGGTGGGTGCAGTACCTATCAAAACACAAGGACAACTAATAACTCAAAAGAATGAGTGTAAGTGAACACATAACCCCAAGCAGCATCCATCTAAGGAAGGATCTGGCTGAGCAGGCCATGCTCTTGGTACTCCTCTTATGCTTCCCACTGGCACTACATCAGGCAAAGGCCTCTTGGTCTGAGGCCAGGTCCACTTGGCCCTCATCAAGCAGATTCTCAGATCACCTCTTGCAAGACTTCTTCCATATATGTGGAGAGAAGTGCTAGCTCTCCATGATGGGTTCAGGAAAGGGGGAGACATGAAGAATCAAGCTGCAAGCATACCTGGGAAAACGGAGCGCAACAAAGAACTTCCAAGGAAACTCGCCTGTGCCTTGTAGATTACAGCCAAGTACCTGACTGTGTATAACGTGAGAAACTATGGGTCTCTCTTGAAGGGTGGGCATCACAGTGGACTGTCCTGTATTCAGGATTTCCAATTGGCACCTTGTATCCCGAACACATCCTACGTACAATAAACTGGACCCAGAAGAGGCATGAGGAAGGAGCATCAACTAAGTGAGATATGCAAACGGTACCATACTACTAGCAGAAAATAGCAAAGTCTTGGAACTTGAAGGAAGTCAAGGAAGAAAGTACAGAGAAAACAAAAACAATGATCAGAGATGATTTCCATGACATTAGAGTAGATGGCAAAGACATTGGAAAGGTTAAGGATTTGCTGTACTTTTTCCATCGTTAGAACAGACACTTGGAAGGGCAGCAGCAAAGGAACGAGGCAAGACCCTGAAGCGTCCAGATGTTGCACTGAATAGATACTGATGTCAGGATGTCCCACACCATTGCATTTCCCATTCCTGTGCATAGTTGTGAAAGCTGGACAGAGAAGGAAGCTGATCAGAAGAAAGTCAATTCAGTTGAAGCATGGAGAAGAATTTTGTATGGACACCACGGACGGCCAACAAGACACAAAAAAGTGGGTCCTGGAGCAAACCAGACCTCAACTCTCCTTAGAAGCCCAGACAACTAAACCAAGACATATCAAGAAAAGAGAGGACTCCCGAGAAAAGGCAAGAGCGCTCGGAAAGGTGGGAGGAAGCAGGAAAAGAGGGCGGCAGCATCACAGATAAGGACACGCAAGCAAGGGAGCCACAGCTGCCCCGAGCCTGCAGACCTAATCGGAATCTGTGATCTTTGATATTGTTGTTTTTAAATCGTTTTAAATTGTTTTTAAATCACGTTAGATTTCAGCCTGTTCTTGTAAGCCGCTCCGAGCCCCAGGGGAGTGGCCGCATAGAAGTTTGAATAATAAATAAATAAATAAATAAATAAAATAATGGGGTCCTTGCAAGCCAAGGCCAATTCAATGGCAGTTAAGAACAACAACAAAATAAGTGAGACGCACTCGTCACTGGAACGCAAATTTGACGGTTAGAAGCCTAAGGAATATTTCCAGGACTGTGTTGCTGTAGGTTTTTTTGGGCTATATGGCCATGGTCTAGAGGCATTCTCTCCTGACGTTTTGCCTGCATCTATGGCAAGCATCCTCAGAGGTAGTGAGGTCTGTTGGAAGTAAGAAAAATGGGTTTATATATCTGTGGAATGACCAGGGTGGGACAAAGAGCTGTTCTCTGCTGGAGCTAGGGGTGAGTATTTCCACTGACCACCTTGATTAGCATTGGATGGCCTGGCAGTGCCAGGAGCAATCTTTTGTTGAGAGGTGATTAGATGTTTCCTCTCTGTTGTTTTGCTGTTGTAATTTTAGAGTTATTTTTAAAACTGGTAGCCAGATTGTGTTCATTTTCATGGTTTCCTCCTTTCTGTTGACATTGTCCACCTGCTTCTTGTGTATTTCAATGGCTTCTCTGTGTAGCCTGACATGGTGGTTGTGAGAGTGGTCCAGCATTTCTGTGTTCTCAAATAATAATCTGCTGTGTCCAGGTTGGTTCCTCAGGTGCTCTGCTCTGGCTGACTTCTCTGGTTGAAGGAGTCTGCAGTGCCTTTCATGTTCCTTGATGCGTGTGTTGGGCAATGCTGCTGCTGCGTTCGGTGGTCCCTCTGGAGACTTCCTGTCCACAGTTGCATGGTATACAATGGTAGACTCCTGCAGAAGTGAGAGGATCCCTCTTGTCCTTTGCTGAACGAAGCACTTGTTGCATTTCCTTGGTGGGTCTGGATATAGTTTGTATGTTGTGTTTCCTCATCAGTGGTTCCCTTGATGTATGGTCCTTCCACAGATATATAAACCCCTTTTCCTAACTCCAACAGACCTCACTACCTCTGAGGATGCTTGCCATAGATGCAGGCGAAACGTCAGGAGAGAATGCCTCTAGACCATAGCCATATAGCCTGAAAAAACCTACAACAACCCAGTGATTCCGGCCATGAAAGCCTTCAACAAGACATTTTCCAGGACGGATGATATTGTATAATGTTTTAAAATGATTTTATTGTGAATTGTAATTTTTATGGTATTTATGCTGTTGGCATCCTCTGATGCTCATGTGAGGCCGGGCTGAGTCCCCCCTTGTGGGGAGAAGGGAGGGAAATAAGTATTTCAAATAAATAGATTAATAATAAATATTGTGTTGGTGCACTCTGGCAATTACGCCAAACACATGAAAGTGTATACCAATCTCACACAAGCTGGAGGAAGACTTGCCCAAGATGGCGAAGAAATGCCCCCAAAACTCAGGCTGGACTCCCCTCCACGTGGCTTACAGCCAAGATTTCTGCTGGCAGAACTCTCTGAACATCTCACCAATACACACACACTGTCCCTGGGGGGGGGGGGGGGGGTGTCTTCCCAGCTGCACAGTCTTCCCAAGGCAAGCTGCCCCCTTCCTGCCCGCCCTGCCCTTCTTCCCCTTCGGGAACCGGAAGCGTTTCCTCCTCCTTGGAGGCTCACCTTCTTGAACTGCTTCTCGTGCTCGCTCCCTTGGTCTGTGGCTCGGAAGGCCGTGTCCCCAGGAGAACCTGCAAAGGAAGACGGGGGCACTCAGCACGGCACAGCACTCCTCCTCCTCGTTCCGCACAGCAGCAGAGAGACAAAGCTGCACCAATGAAGCAGCACGGCTGTCTAGTTTTCTAGGAACACCCTTTTGCAAATGGCTTTCTCCTCTGGGAAACGGACCCTCTTTGAAAGAGTCTCTCTCTTGTGTGCAGAAGTGCAGCTGGTCTGACCCAAAGGCTTGCAGATGCAATGACAGCACATACATAGAGCACCACCACCATCTTCAGTTGCTGCAAGGAGCATTTAAGTCAAAGGCAAAAGCAGTTTTTCCCAAGCCAGGGAAATGCTTCCTGCAAAGCCCGGGGCTCTCTTTGGTTGTTCTGCCTCAAAAGGGTCGGCCTCATGCAACCAACTTACCAAGAAAAGGTAAGGCGCACCCACCTTCCCTTTTCCCAGAGGAATTTCTGATTAGATTTTTCTTAAACCCAAAATCAGAATTTCTAGTGCACACAAAAAACAATTTCTTCAACAGAACTGGATCTACCAAGAACAAAGCCAAGGAGTCCCCACATTCAGTTTTGCTGTGAGTTTTTTGGGCTGTCTGGCCATGTTCCAGAAGCATTCTCTCCTGATGTTTCGCCTGATCCTCAGAGGTTGTGAGGTCTGTTGGAAACTAGGCCAGTTTATATATCTGTGGAAAGTTCAGGGTGGGAGAAAGAACTCTGGTCTGTTTGAGGAAAGTGTGAATGCAGTAATTGATTACCTTGATTGACATTGAAAAGCCTTGCAGCTTCAAGGCTTGGCTGCCTCCTACCTGGGGGAATCCTTTGTTGGGATTCAACAAAGACAAGAGTTCTTTCCCCCACTCCAGGCATTCCACGGGTGTGTAAACCTCACTTGCCTAGTTTCCAACAGACCTCCCAACCTTTGAGGTTCCCTGTCACAGTTGTGGGCAAAACATCAGGAGAGAATGCTTCTGGACCATGGCCAGGCAGCCTGGAAAACTCACAACAACCCAGTGATTCTGGCCGTGAAAGCCTTCGACAACACATAGTCCCTGCATTTATTATATACATGTCCTCTCTCCTGCCTCACAAAAATGGAAGACGCGTTCCATATGAACTTATGACCCCCTTTCTACTTTTGCCTGACTTTTATTTTGTTTTAAAGGGGGGGGGGGATATTAAGGGACGGTAGAGAAAAAGTGCTTTTTACACACCCAACAAGAGAAGTAGACCAGAAGCTCCTATGACTTCACTAACCCAATTGTGACCTGTGGAGAACCAGCAAAAAAGGGGAAATAAAAATTATAAATACAAACAAACGGTGAAGCAAACGAGAGGCCCTTTGGCCTTGGGCGCTGCGTGAGAGCCAGGCAGACAGAGCGGCACATTCAGGCACAGGGGGGGGGGGGGCAGGACAACAGACGGAGGGGAGCCAAAATAATCCTTCCCAACAGCGGGGGGGGGGGGGCACATTTCCCTTTTGGAAAGACACAACCAAGTGCATAGGAGGGTCTCATCTACTTGTCGTTTGCGTCCTCCCTGGGCCGTCACCCTGAAGCCCTGCCATTGGTGGCACTGTCCTTGGAGACCCTTGGCATTCCAATTCCGGGGGCCACCAGAGGGGATCCGATGACGCGCCCCATATCTGTGTGCCCCCCACATCCTACAGATATTGTCTTATTGATAATGTTGTATATTTTATTGTCTATGTTTTTATTTTAATTGCTTGTACTGTTGTTGTTTTGCTTGTATTCGGGCTCGGCCTCATGTAAGCCGCACCGAGTCCCTTGGGGAGATGGTAGCGGGATACAAATAAAGTTATTATTATTATTATTATTATTATTATTATTATTATTATTACAGAGCCGCTCTGCTCCAAAGAAGGCGTTGGGAAAGCAGCATCACGCAGCCCCAGAAGAGGCCCCAGGAAGGTGACAGGAGACCTTTTCTCCCTCCGCTCCCTGGCCTCAAAAAGGATTCTGAACTGGGGTTTGAACCTCTGACCCCGTATATCAGGCCTGGGCCAACTTGGGCCCTCCCTCCAGGGGGTTTGGAATTCAACTCCCATAATTCCAGGCAGCCAGTAGGAGTTGGAGTCCAAAACACCTGGAAGGCAGAAGTTTGACAATGACCGGCTGTTAGGAATCATGGGAGTTGGAATCCAAAACACTTGGAGAGAGGGCCCAAGTTGGCCCAGGCCTCTTTTATATACAAACAATGTGCTTAAATGGGTTGTTGTAGGATTTCGGATTATATGGCCATGGTCTAGAGGCATTCTCTCCTGACATTTTGCCTGCATCTATGGCAAGCATCCTCAGAGGTAGTGAGGTCTGTTGGAACTAGGAAAAAGGGGTTTATATATCTGTGGAATGACCAGGGTGAGACAAAGGGCTCTTTTCTGCTGGAGCTAGGTGTGAATGTTTCAACTGACCACCTTGATTAGCGTATAATGGCCTGACAGTGTCTAGAGCAATCTTTTGTTGAGAGGTGATTAGATGTCCTTGTTTGTTTCCTCTCAACAAAAGTTTGCTCTAGGCACTGTCAAGCCATTATATGCTAATCAAGGTGGTCAGTTGAAACATTCACACCTAGCTCCAGCAGACAAGAGTCCTTTCTCCCACCCTGGTCATTCCACAGATATATAAACCCTTTTCCTAGTTCCAACAGACCTCACTACCTCTGAGGATGCTTGCCATAGATGCAGGCGAAACGTCAGGAGAAATGCCTCTAGACCATGGCCATATTGTCCGAAAAAACCTACACCAACCCAGTGATTCCAGCCATGAAAGCCTTCGACAATATAATGTGCTTAAATACCAACCAATGCACAACAGCCAAAGAACACCAGGGACTGCGAGACATAGTTCAGAGAAACGCAATGTTAAATTATCCCTGAGCGGTCCTGGCACAAGACCTCTCTGTGGAATCCGTGGGCCTGCCAAAGCTGGACGGGCAATCTGAAGGCACAAGAAGCCACGCCACAACCGCAACATCAGAGTCAGCAAAGGCACAACAATGCTCCAAAGCGCGACATTAAAAGGCCACGGGACTTGGAAGCTGGGTTAGGAACAGGAGCTTGGCCAAGCGAGAGGGGGCCCTCCCAGGAAAGGGGGTCTCAGGAAAGGAAAGAGGGCAGGGGGAGGCCTTCTGTCACAAGGGCTCAAATGGGGCGCTGGGGGGCAGGCAAAGGGCTGGCCAGGGCTTCAGGAGTCCAAGAGTGAGACAACAGAGTTCCCAGAAGGCCGTTCCCATTACCCCCGGCCCTGGGGCTGGCTGAGAGGGGGCTGGGAACTCCAGCTACATCCACAGCATCACCCCGACCCCACATCTTTAAAAGCAAAGCATTCTTCCTCTGCATTTTTATTTTAGAACACCCTGAAAAAAGTGCGCTATCAGATGCCTTGAGAACACCGCAGGGCCTACAGGACCCAAGCCCTCCCAAGAAGAAAACCGGGACTGTGGCGCAGCTGGCTGGGAGTCAGCTGCATTAAGATCACTACTGATTGAAAGGTCATGAGTTCGAAGCCAGCCCAGGTCAGAGTGAGCTTCCGACCAATTTGTGTAGCTTGCTGTTGACCTCTTCGGCCTGAAAGACAGTTGTATCTGTCAAGTAGGAAATTTAGGTATTGTTTATGCAGAGAGGCAAATTTAACTAATTTACAAGGCCACAAAAATCTCCAGCAAGCATGCAAAGAATGAGGAAGTACTTCATCAGTGTCACAAATGGTTGGTGAAGGGACAGCTCCCCCGGTGGCCAGAATATCCTCAAGAAAAAGCTGGAATGTTAAGTAGCCCCTGTGTGTCTGTCTATATATGTTGTGTGTCTATGGCATTGAATGTTTGCCATGTATATATACATTGTAATCTGCCCTGAGTCCCCTGCCGGGTGAGAAGGGCGGAATATATAAATACTGTAAATAAATAAATAAAGAGAGAAATACAGTGTTCCCTCTCTTATCGCGGGTGTTACATTCCAGGACCACCCGCGAAAAGTGAAAATCCACCAAGTAGGGTCGCCATATATGTATATAGCGTTCCGAGGGTGAGGCAGAAGTGAGAAGAGATGTAAAGGCACTGCACACCTTGGGGTTTTTTTTTTTTTTTTTTGGCTAGCTATCTTTGCTTTGCTTTGCAATCTCTTTTGATTGGCTGCCTCTCTCCCGAAGGGGAGGATGAAACCCCCTCCCACACTCCATCGTTGCCAGGAGGCAAGATTAGAACCCCGCTCCGGGCAATGGCAACCATTCATAAACTGGGAGGCAAAAACCCGCAAAACAGCGAGTCCACGGAAAGCAAACCGCAAAGTAGCGAGGGAACACTGTAGAGAAAGAGCACAAGGAGCACGACATACGACAGCTGTTAGGTATTATTCCTGCCTCCACACATTGGCACCAAAGCCCCCACCCCCCACCCCAAAAGCATCTCACTTACCTTACTGTGGGAGGAATAAGGTGCCTTTCAGATTAACACAGGAGGCCATTCCTCTCCAGTTTCCGAAACGTGTCCTTACCTGGCGTGAAAAGGCCCGTCAGGGAACTGAAGCTCTCTCCGATCTTGTCGAAGTCAGGCATCAGCTTAGCCAGGTCTTCCGAGTCAGGGAGGGCGTTCTTGAGTTTTTCTGGGAGGGGAAAAAAGAGAGGGAGGGGCACGCGTTACTTCTGGGTTTTGGGGGAGCAGTATCATTTATTTACTGACTACATCTATATACTGTCCCTCTCAGCCCAAGGGGGACTCGGAGCGGTTAACAATTGGCAACAATTTGCTGCCAAAACAATTACAACCATTAAAGAATCATAAAACACCATTAAAACACTAGCAAACAATATAAAAATAAAAATTAAACATATTTGGGGCCCAGTGTTAAGGCCCTAAAACCACATGGGCAAACTGCAGCCCTCCCTCCGGGTGTTTTGGATCCAGCTCCCACAATTCCTAGCAGCCTACCAGGAGCTGGGAGTCCAAAACACCCGGAGGGAGGGCTGAAGTTTGCCCAGGCCTGTTTGAGTCCCTGTCTGCCCTGACCATTTAACACAGTTCAACCCGTACGAAAGAAAGCGGTTTCCCAGGGCAGATGATCGCAGAGGGAATCCTGGAAGCAGTGTGAGGCCTGGGGGGTGAAATACTGTTGTGTGGCTGCTGCAGTTTGAAGCTAGCTTCAGACTGCCTTCAATGGTCAGGGGAGATGGGGCCTTCGCCTTTTGTCTCTCTCTCTCTCTCTCTCTTTAATTCCAGTGCACATTGTCTTTGAAGCTAACATGCACTGCTTTTATGCCTAAAAGAGCAGAGTGCTTCTGCATTGCAAAGACTGTTCTGATGAGCACCAGAGCTCTGTTTGCCAACATGCATTACGCACACAAAATCCACATTTGGGCCAGGCAAGTTCTGAGTCAAAGCTCTAAGGCAGTGTTTCTCAACCTGGGGGTTGGGACCCCTGAAGGGGTCGCGAGGGGGTGTCAGAGGGGTCACCAAAGACCACAAGAAAACACAGTATTTTCTGTTGGTCATGGAGGCTCTGTGTGCCAAGTTTGGTCCAATTCCATTGTTGGCAGGGTTCAGAATGCTCTTTGATTGTAGGTGAACTATAAATCCCAGCAACTACAACTCTCAAATGACAAAATCAATACCCTCCCCCAATCCCACCAGTATTCAAATTTGGGTGCATTGGGTCTTTGTGCCAAATTTGTTCCCATGAATGAAAATACATCCTGCGCATCAGATATTTACATTGCTATTCATAACAGGAGCAAAATGACAGTGAGGAAGTAGCAAGGAAAATAATGTTATGGTTGGGGGTCACCATCACATGAGGAAGCGTATTAAGGGGTTGTGGCATTAGGAAGGTTGAGAACCACTGCTCTAAGGCACTTCACGCAAACAAAACAAACTTTCTATCTTCCAGGAAAATGCTCCAAAACTTTTCAGAGAAAAAGAAGAGTCTCCAGTGATGCATGCATAGCTGTACTGTTGACTTCCAGGTTCCACACAAACTCAGCATGCAAGGGGGAAAGAAAAAGACACAATGAAAGCCAAGTGCCTACCAAAGTCTACGTATTCGTCAAGGTCCCAGATAAAGTCGGGCACAATCCACTTGTACTCGCCAAGATCGGGCAGCATGTCCTTCCACTGTTCATATGTCTACGGTCAGAAGCAGAGAGGCGTCATCAAGCTTTTTGCAATATGGAAATATCACAGAACCATAGAAAGAGCGTTGGAAGAGGCTGCAAGGGGCACCCAGTCCGACTGCACTCTGTGAGGCAGAAACAAAGCCCTAAAGCTCCTATGATTCCATACCACTGAGTTCTGGCAATCAAAGTGGTCTCAAACTGCATTAATCTAACAGCGTAGAGGCACACACTCCACGTTAAAGTCTGTGAGAAACAGACAGGCAAGAAAAGTAACCCCAAAACCATTTTTAAAATGGGGAGGAGGCCATCAACTTTGGCAGACAGGTCATTACAATTCTGGGGAGACCAAGTTACTTTTCCCAAAGGCAATGTTGGCAACCCTGCCCTTGCTGTGAATAAATGTTTTGGGGAGACAACATAGCCTAGTAGCTTGGATTTTGTGCTAGAAGTTCAAGAATCCACATGGAAACTCCCTGAGCGGCCATTAGCAAGTCACCTTCACTCAACCTCTGAGGGAGGAATGGTGGCCAATCCCCTCTGAATGAATCTGGCCATGAAAACCCTGAGCAAAGCAAGAGAGTGGTGTGCCCTCTGCTCCGGCAACAAATCCTTCACTTCCTCAGATGACCATTCCAGGCTCTCCCAATTTCACAAACAAGCCCTGGTCAAAGGAAGAATGCCCAGAACTGTCAGAATGTAGGATCTATGGAGCAATATTAAATAACCACTCACAAGCCGTTTTTCTTTGAAATGGATATACTTCTTGTATCTCTGCAGCAAAGAAAGACACTACTGACTTTTTTCCCACCACCACTTCCTTTTATACACCTTTCCTGCCCCTCTCCCCCCCCCCCCCTTCTCAGTTTCCTTATTAGAACTTGTTGCTTCACAAGTTCCAATACAAGGTTTCCAGCACCTTCAACTGGCTTCAAAATGTCACAGAGAGAGAACTGATTCAGCCAGGATGTCACGGAATGAATTTGTGATGTCTTCATGCCGTCAGAAATTGACTCCTGACAAGAACAGTGGCTGCTGCCTGCCTCGGTGGGTACCTTTTTGGCTGTGTAGCCCCCTCCCACGGCGGAGCCGAGGAGGATGTATCGCAGCTTCAGGAGCCTTGCGGCCACTCTGCCCAGCCAGAAGGTCCTGTGGGGCGGGGAGCCATACTTCACGAGGAGCCGGGAGCCGTGCAAAGGGAGGCGGTTGAGGGAGGAGAAGGGCTGCGTTGAGCTCCGCAATGGGGGCCTCTGAAATCTGGACACGGGGTGGCGGGAATGGTGGATATTCCGGGAAACGAGGTGCAGTTTCTGCAGCAGCGGCTTCCCTCTCGCTCCATGGACCCCATTTGTGAGGTTTCGACAGATGACGCTGAAGGAGAAGAAGAAGAGACAAGGCCTATGAGCACAGGTTCCTTTCCCTCATTCCCTCCTGCCCTTTGCCCATTTTATGCCAAAAGATGCAGTAACGCTGGCTGGCATCCCATTGGTCTGTTATGCGCAAGGAAGATCCCTCCATGCTTGCAGCTGTGCGTTTTTGACCATCATGTGATTTCCATATTCAGCCACAGCTGCAGAGGTGGAGTTCCGCAAGTGAAACGGTTGCGCCTGCAGTTGTGCTTCCTTAAAGGGTGTTGTGTGAGCCCCAATGCCTCCCCCGTTCTCCTCAATTCAGGCTGAGGGGTGACAGGATGGCCCTCTTGACACCCCCAAGGGCCGCCCCAGAAAGGAAGCAGGAGGCCAGTCCTCTGCTGCCTTGAGGGGATGGCTAGGTCTAAGGGCGTTAAACCACAAGAGGGCAGATTCTGACCCAACATGAGAAGATCCCTCTTGAAGCTGGGTTGTTGTAGGTTTTTTCGGGCTATATGGCCATGTTCTAGAGACATTTCTCATGGCCATATAGCCTGAAAAAACCTACAACAACCCAGTGCTTCCGGCCATGAAAGCCTTCGACAATACCTCTTGAAGGCAACTCCATTACTGCCCTGGAACCAAAGGCTTAGGGAGCCGGTGGAGTCTCCCTTTCTGCACATCGCCTAAAAAGATGCTGGACAGCTCCCTTCTGCTCAAAACGCTCTGGAGCAGGGCTTCTTAAACTTTTTCAACTTGCCACCCTTTGAGCAAGTTACACAGGGATACAACAGATATACAACAGATATACATTCCACCTCGTAATCTAAAATCTGCTGGGGAGACCCTGCTCTCGGTTCCACCGGCTTCACAAACACGTTTGGTGGGGATGAGGGACAGGGCCTTCTCAGTGGTGACCCCCCGCTTGTGGAATTCACTCCCCAACGAGATTAGATTGGCGTCCTCCCTCCTTTCCTTCAGGAAAAAACTAAAATCGTGTTTATGGAACCAGGCCTTTGGCTAGTGGGTGTAGCAGCACTCTGAATATGGAACTGGTCTTGATGACTGTTACAATAATTTGGAAATGGATATGTGATTATGTGATGATATAACTAATTGTTACTGTTTTTAACTTTTTACGTATTTATGTTTTATACTGGTGTTTTGTTACTGTGGCATCGAATTGCTGCCTGTGTTAGCCGCTCTGAGTCCCCCCCCCCCCTCGGGGGCTGAGAAGGGCGGGGTAAAAATGCAGTAAATAAAATAAATACAACTCAAGCTTCTTCTTCTTCTTCTTCTCTCTCTCTCTTTTCTTTTTTACTATGAGATGGTTAAATTGGTGGGTATGGAGGCCCAGTTCTACCACAGCAATAACAATTAGAAAGGACTCACAGTTAAGAATGTGGTGAGAGAGAAAGGAGGTGAGAGGAATCTCCCCCTTAGAAGGAAGGGAGGGAAATCCACTCCTGGAAGAGTTATTTCCCCAAACTTGATCTGTGTTGATATTTGGGTGTATGGAATATTTGTGCCAAGTTTGGTCCAGATCCATCATTGTTTGAGTCCACAGTGCTCTCTGGATGTAGGTGAACTACAACTCCCAAACTCAAGGTCAATGCCCATCAAACACTGGTAGTATTGTTCATTTTCATGGTTTCCTCTTTTCTGTTGAAATTGTCCACATGCTTCTTGTGGATTTCAATGGCTTCTCTGTGTAGTCTGACACAGTGGTAGTGAGAGTGGTTTATGCTGTGTCCAGGTTGGTTCCTCAGGTGTTCTGCTATGGCTGACTTCTCTGGTTGAAGTAGTCTGCAGTGCCTTTCATGTTCCTTGATTCGTGTCTGGGCAATGTTGCTGCATTTGGTGGTCCCTATGTAGAGGGATCCTCTCACCTCTGCAGGAGTCTCCCGTGTACCATGCAGCTGTGGACAAGAAGTCTCCAGAGGGACCACCAAACGCAGCAGCATTGCCCAGACACGAATCAAGGAACATGAAAGGCACTGCAGACTACTTCAACCAGAGAAGTCAGCCATAGCAGAGCACCTGAGGAACCAACCTGGACACAGCATATATTTGAGAACACAGAAATGCTGGACCACTCTCACAACCACCATGTCAGGCTACACAGAGAAGCCACTGAAATACACAAGAAGCATGTGGACAATTTCAACAGAAAGGAGGAAACCATGAAAATGAACAAAATCTGGCTCCCAGAAATTATAACAGCAAAACAACAGAGGAAACAACCAGGCACATAAAATCACTCTCAACAAAGGATTCCCCCCAGGTGCTTCCAAGCCATTGAATGCAAATCAAGGTGATCAGCTGAAACATTCACCCCAGCTCCAGCAGACAAGAGTCCTTTGTCTCACTCTGGTCATTCCACAGATATATAAACCCTTTTTCCTAGTTCCAACAGACCTCACTACCTCTGAGGATGCTTGCCATAGATGCAGGCGAAACGTCAGGAGAGAATGCCTCTAGACCATGGCCATAAAGCCCGAAAAAACCTACCCCAGATGATTTTGTCCTACAACTCCCAGAAATCCTAACAGCTGGTAACTGGCTGGGATTTCTGGGAGTTGTAGGCCAAAAACATCTGGGGACCCAAGGTTGAGAACCACTGCTCTAGAGCATGGCCATATAGCCTGAAAAAACCTACAATAACCCAGTGATTCCGGCCATGAAAGCCTTCGACCATACAATCCTGTGGCCAGCTTCAGGATCAGGAAACAGACAAGGACATCTAATCACCTCTCAACAAAAGATTGCTCCAGGCACTGTCAGGCCATTATGTGCTAATCAAGATGGCCAGTTGAAACATTCCCACCAAGCTCCAGCAGACAGGAGTCCTTTGTCCCACCCTGGTCATCATTCCACAGATATATATATAAACCCATTGTCCTAATTTCAACAGACCTCACTCCCTCTGAGGATGCTTGCCATAGATGCAGGTGAAACGTCAGGAGAGAATGCCTCTAGCCATGGCCATAGAGCCTGAAAAAACCTACAACAACCCAGTGATTCCAGCCATGAAAGCCTTCGACAATATGATTACTGCATTTTGCACAATCCCCTTCTCACAGGGACAGGAAGAGGGCGGAAGCCTCCTGAGGAGGGGCGCCCTTCCCAATGAGGCCCAAGGCGTTCCTGTGGAGAGGAGGCGCCTTTTCCACGGAGGGAGAGAGAGAGGTGGGCGGGCGGGCAGGCAGGCAGACCCGCATTTCCCTGGAGGAGGGAGGCCCCTGTTCTAACTCATCTGGAGGGCCACCAGCCTCCCGCCCTGGCTTCTTTGCCCCCTGGGACCTGCTCTTCTGTCACGCCGGGGGGGGGGGGGGTCCCTTCCTGCTTGGCTCTCCCACCCAAACACGGGGAGAGTGTCTCCATCTGCCCACGCTGAGGCTGAGCAAGGCCCAGGAAGCCTGGCCCTTGCGGGAGAAGCCCGCCCGCCCGCCTTCCCTGCCTCCCTCTCCGCCTGAAGGGAACGGCCGCCCTGCCTGGGGAGCGAAGGCAACCGCAGGCCGCGCTTCAAGCCGGGACGCGGTGGGCCTTCGGGGACCGGGCGGGCGGGCGGGGAGGGAGTGCTGTACTGACCAGGCCGCCGCTCCCGCCGGCGCCCGCCACATCTTGCCGCCGGCCGCCCTCCTGCTCCTCCTTCGCCCTCTTCCGCCGCCACCCGCACTCCTTCCGGGCCGGCCCTGAGCACAGATCAGCCGCCACTTCCGGTACGGCGCCCCAAACGCTCCGGCTACTTCCGCTTCTCGGGAGGAAGTGGAGCGCGGCCTGCGTTGAGCGCCTGCGCGGCTCATAGAGATAGGAAAGTCAAGAGCGGAACCTCTCACAGAATTATAGAATCGTACAATATAGAGTGGGAAGAGACCTTCTGGGCCATCATCATCCAGTCCAACCTCATCCTGACAAGAAGCAGGAATATTGCATTCAAAGCACCCCTGACAGATGGCCAGCCAGCCTCATAGAATCCAAGAGTTGGAAGAGACCTCCTGGGCCATCATCCAGTCCACCCCCATTCTGCCAAGAAGCAGGAATATTGCATTCAAATCACCCCTGACAGATGGCCATCCAGCCTCTGTTTCAAAGCTTCCAAAGAAGGAGCCTCCTTCTGTGTCCAATTCTGGGCACCACAATTCAAGAGAGATATTGACTCTAAGCTGGAATGTGTTCAGAGGAAGGCGACTGAAATGATCAAGGGTCTGGAGAACAAGCCCTATGAGGAGCGGCTTAGGGAACTGGGCATGTTTAGCCTGAAGAAGAGAAGGCTGAGAGGAGACATGATAGAGCCATGTATAAATATGTGAGAGGAAGCCACAGGGAGGAGGAGGGAGCAAGCTTGTTTTCCGCTTCCTTGGAGACTAGGACGCGGAACAATGGCTTCAAAATACAAGAGAGGAGATTCCATCTGAACATGAGGAAGAACTTCCTGACTGTGAGAGCCGTTCAGCAGTGGAACTCTCTGCCCGGAGTGTGGTGGAGGCTCCTTCTTTGGAAGCTTTTAAACAGAGGCTGGATGGCCATCTGTCAGGGGTGCTTTGAATGCAATATTCCTGCTTCTTGGCAGAAGGGGGTTGGACTGGATGATGGCCCAGGAGGTCTCTTCCAACTCTTTGATTCTATGATTCTATGAAGAATCATAGAGTTGGAAGGAGCCCCAAAGGGCATCTAGTCCAACCCCCATCTGCCATGCAGGAAGAGCATAATCAAAGCACTCCTGACAGATAGCCATCCAGCTTCTGTTTAAAAGCCTCCAAGGAAGGAGCCTCCACCACACTCAGAGGAGGTGGAGAGTTCCCCTGCTGAACAGCTCTCCTTACAGCCAGGAAGTTCTTCCTGATGTACGGGTGGGATCCCCTTCCTTCCCTGCCACTTGAACCCATGTCTCCATTGAGTACTAGTCTCCAGGGCCGCAGGAAGGAAGGAAGCCCCCTCCCTCTTCCTTATTTCTACATGGCTGTCCCGCCTCCTCTCAACCTTCTCTTCTGCCGGCTGAATATGCACACCTGTTTGAGACGCTCCTCAGGGGGATTCTTCATGGTCCCCAGACCTTGGATCCTTCGAGTTGCCCTCTTCAGCTCTGGACCCCTTCCAGCTGAGAGTCCATCTCTTTCTCTCTCTTCAATTCTGCTGCCCAGAAGTGGACACAGTGTGATTCCAGGTGAAGGAGGTCTGACCAAGGGAGAAGAGAGAAGCACCACGACTCCCTTGACCTGAACACTCGGCTCCTGACAGATGGCCATCCTTGGGGTGCAGCCCAGAATCCTATTGGCTTTTTCAGCTGCTGCACAACAGTCTTGGCTCAAGTTCAGCTTGTTGTCCATAAAGATTCCAAGATCTTTCTCACGTGGACTGTTCTTGGGCCAGGCGTCACCCATCCTGTATCTCTGCAGTTCACTTTTTCTGCTCAAGTCAAGTATCCTACCCATCTCCTTGCTGAAATTCATTGTGTTGGTTTTGGCCAATCAGCTCTCTGATCTGTTGAGGTCATTTTGAATCCCGATCCTGTCCTCTGGAGGATTAGCTCTCTCCCCCAAATTGGTCCCATCTGCAGACTTGGTCAGCACGCCCTCTAAACCTTCCTTCAAGTCATGAATAAAGATGCAGAGCAGCCCTGAAGAACCCAGGACCGAGCCCGCTTTATGACCCCCCAGAAGTCCCTTCCTTCCAGGATGAAGAGGAACCCCTGAAGAGAAACACCTTTTGGGTTGGGTTGGGTCAACCCATTTCAAATCTACCCCACAGTTGCCTTGCCTAGCCCACACCTGACTAGTGTCCTTGCCGGAAGGTCATGGGGGACCATGTCAAAGTGATGCCGAGCATCTTTCCCCCCCCCTCCCAAGTATTTGTAGTTCGCCAAGGGCCGGACAATGGATTCTGCTGCTTCCTGACCCAGCGCACATAACTGGGTTCCTGTCTCCTCTTTGTGAACTCTCTGACTTATGCACTGGACTATGGACTCTGCTACTACCCAACCCAGCGCCCATCACTGGGCTTCTGCCTTTTTCTTATTGACTCTCTGCTTCATGAACTGAACTGTTTGCCACATCCCTGGCTTAGGAACTTCCTTCTGGTGCTTGCCTTGAAATGCAAGCAGCCTCAGTTTCCACGCACCTTTGCCAAAGGACTATGAGATCTCCAGTTTGCGTTATAATAAAGATCCAATATTGTAATAAACTTTCGCTGGGGATGGGGATGGGATATTATGAGATGCCTGTGTATTAGTGATGCCTGTGTTTTATGACTATGATATGTATGTAACCCTTATGAATTCCTCTATGCCATCACCCCCTTGACCTCTGCCCCACAAAAGCGGCGTGACCAGGAACTGCCCAAAGGGAAGAGCTCAAGCCTCTCCCTTAATCACCCTTGATTGATTCATCAGCATGGACAATGCTACTGATCCCCAACCCTAGCCCTCGGAGCAAGGCCAGCGAAGGGAAGGGGGTCAGCAGAGACTAGGAAAGAAAAGATTGATTTAATCAAAAAGATATCGTTGACCCTCCGGGTGGTCCGATACCGAACCAGCCTTTCATACTGCTTCCCAGACCCATCAAGGACAGGAAAGCCTCTTTGTTTAAAGGGATCACCCTTTTCCCACCTAAAACAAAGCCCGCATTCCAGCGGGCAGGAAATCCCAATCCCATCATCTTTCCCCTTTGTCTGCGGCCGTTCCGCCTCCTCACTCCTGATTGGTCTAAACTCAGAAGCGAGCGGAGGGCGCCCATTGGCCCTCCCGAGGCGCAGGAGCGTTCTGATTGGCTGAAAGCTGAGGCGGGCCGCCAAGCCTCCTCCCAGCTGTTCCAGCCTCAACCAATCAGCGTCAAGCCGGCCGGCAAGGGGCGGCGGGAGTTTCAAACTGCTTTCTTTTGTCCTGTACTGTATAAAAATGCCTGAAATCTTTGTATCTGTATGCTTGCAGTGGAATGATTCCTGTAATGCATCTGATCTCAGCTGAATCACAATAAACCTCGATTGCTGAAAAGAAACTTCTTCCACTTGGATGAGGCATTATTATTTATAATATTTTTACTCTTTGGATTGGCTCTCGCTGGCCTCACCAAGCGACCCAGAGCCCTTTAGGCGCGGTCCTCGGGTTTCTCTCTCTCAAGGAGACCCTGCTAAAAGCAGCTCAATATCAAAAGGAAGGCCTTCCTGAAATCAAGATGGCCTTCACCCACAGCATTCCCTGCACTTACCAAGCTTGTAACTCTATTGAAAAAAGAGACAATGAGCCTGGCAGGACTTGTTTCTGAGAAATCCACGCATACTTTCAGTGATCACAACCCTCTTAAGTGATGGCAGGCTGCCTCCTGACTGATCTGCTCCAGAATCTTTCCTGGTATTGCTGTCAAGCTGACTGGACACTGGTCATTATTTGGGTCCTCTTTCCCTCCCTGCTTGGAATCAGGGACCACATTGGCCCTCCTCCAGTCTGCTGGGGCTTCTCCTGTTCTCCAAGAATGCTGAAAACGTATTGCCAGTGGTTCTGAAATGACTTCTGAGGATTCCTTCAATACCCTTGGATCTAGCTCAGTGGTTCTCAACCTGTGGGTCCCCCGGTGTTTTGGCCTACAACTCCCAGAAATCCCAGCCAGTTTACCAGCTGCTAGGATTTCTGGAAGTTGAGGACCAAAACATCTGAGGACCCACAGGTTGAGAACCACTGAGCTAGCTCATTTGCAGTTTGGGACCTAGAGCTTGAAAGGATACTTTTTGGCAGTAGCCTTGCCTGCCATCCCAAGAGTGCATGTGTGTATATTTATACATGTGCATGTGCCCATTTTGGCAGTAGCCCCATCCATTCTCCTCATCGAGTATATATAGCAGTGGGCAGAGAGAGGGAGCCTTAGTTCCCAGCACTAAAGAACCAGGGCATGACCCACAGCAGAGAGGATGGGTGGGAGGGTGCACATTTCTCAGGTCACCACTCAATGAAACAGTTACAGGTAAGCAATTCATTCTTCTTGGTGTTGTCAGTGAAATCACACATATGGGTGACTAGCAAGCACTAACCTTTGGAGGTGGGGTCACCCACACAGAACAGCACAGCACTGCTGAAGGCTGCATCCTTCCGCAAGATGGTATCCAGCTTATTGTGGGTGGCAAATGTGAGGAGTGTGGACCATGCTGCCGACTGGCAGGTGTCTTCCAAGGGCGCTTTCTGCAAAAGACTTGGGATGTTGACTCTAAGCTGGAATGTGTCCAGAGGAGGGCGACTCAAATGATCAAGGGTCTGGAGAACAAGCCCTATGAGGAGCAGCTTAAGGAGCTGGGCATGTTTAGCCTGAAGAAGAGAAGGCTGAGAGGAGATATGATGAGCGCCATGTATAAATATGTGAGAGGAAGAAACTAGACACAATCTTCAAGTATTTATTTATTTATTTGGGGTTCTTTTACCCCGCCCTTCTCACCCCGAAGGGGACCCAGGGCGGCTTACACAGTAAAGGCACGATTAGATGCCTGCATCACAACAATCATCACAAATTACAATAAATTCACAGTTACCAACAGCTTCATGCATTATTCCAATAAAATCAATAAAATCAATAAAATCAATACAAACCTAAATTCCTCCCTTACATTGTCAGTGTTTGCTGTCTCATAGATCTGCTTTTAATACCATTTCGTCAATCCTGCTGGTCTTTAATTGCCTGGTTGCCCAAAGGCCTGGTCCCATAACCAAGTCTTCACCCTCCTCCTGAAGGAGAGGAGGGATGGTGATGCTCTGATTTCCCCGGGGAGTGAGTTCCACAGGTGAGGGGCCACCACTGAGAAAGCCCTGCTCCTCGTCCCCACCAGCCTCACTTGTGACAGTGGTGGGGTCGAGAGCAGGGCCTCCCCAGATGATCTCAAACTCCGAGGTGGGACGTAGCGGGAGATACGTTCGGACAGATACACTGGACCGGAACTAGGAGAAGGGCTGGGGTTCTTCGATAATGCAGAACTCCTAATAGCCAACTTGGGGGGGAGGGGGGCTCCACAGAAGGAGGGCTAAAAATACCATTTGGATCAGATTGCTGAGAACATCAGGAGCGATTGGTGGAGACAAGGGAGAGGGCCTTCTCTATGGTGGCCCCCCTGACTCTGGAACCCACTCCCTAAGGATATCAGACAAGCCCCCACATTGGCAGTCTTTAGGAGGAGCTTGAAAATGTGGCTGTTCCAGTGTGCCTTCCCAGAATAAAGGAAAGAATGCCCTGTTCTGGCCAATTCCCTGCAAAATGTCCTCAGAAGCACTTTATTTACCCGTTGGATTGATCTCCCTACATTACCCTTTAACCCCCCCCCCGCGTAGATATACCCTACCTCTGTTCACACCCAGTGCTTGGCCTCATGTAAGCTGCCCCGACTCCCCTTGGGGAGATGGTGGCGGGGTATACATAAAGTATTATTATTATTATTATTATTATTATTATTATTATTTTTCTCCCACTGACCCTGGAAGGGTAGAGTTTTCCAGGCGGGTAGAGGCAGCTTCCTGTTGGACGGAGCTTGAGGCACAGAGCAAGTTTTGGCCCTACATGAGGGAGGACTAAATCGTCTAAGAGAGTTCTGACAGAAGCCTCCCCATTGCCATCTGGACTGATGAGAGGCTGAGGGAGGAAAGCCAAGGTTGTGAGTGGTCTGCCTCGTCTTGTGAGCATGTCCGAGTTGGGAGTCAGTCTCCGGACTGGAGGGACCCGCCTCATGCCCTGGGAGGTCTTTATATGGCGTTGGGCACCAAAGTGGGCAGTCCAGAGGCACAAAGCCCGGCAGGGCAGCTCAAGGAATGGGCCATGTGCTTTGCCAGTTCTTTCTGTAAGCCAGCCAGAAGACAGGCTTCTTCCTGCTGGAAGGCATTGGCTTGCCTCTGCTCCTCAAGAGGAAAGCGGTCCAGGTAGGGGGCAATCTTACCCCATAAAAAGTGTGGATAGGCTCCCATAGAAGCCCCATAGCGTGCCAGTCTGGCGAAGAGACAAGCCAAGGTGTGTACCTTCTTGCTCATTGCACCTAGTTCCTTCCCTTCTTATCAATGGATACTGAATATGACCTTTGGGAGGGACATGGCTGATGTTCACCACTATGGTGTTAGGCTTGAGTTGTTAGTGTACCAATCCGTTGTGGAGAGATCCACACCATTCAAATCCTCTGCCCTGCTTGAGGTTGCTGTTACCAACAAGGCAGAGGTACCTGGCACTTGTATAAAATATGGCCGAGAGAGTAGCAGTTACCACCGTGCAACGATGGAAATGCCGCATCCTTCACTGAAGTAAAGGGTGGAGGAGTGTGCAGGTTGGCAGCCCGTGCTAGATGGGGGTGGGGTGGGGGGAGGGTGACATGCTGGAGTGGCCAAGAAAGACGAGACAAGGATGCCAAACAAGGGGTTTACTGACCCAACCTGGACATGTAGCTTTCTATATCGTAACATAAAGGTTCTTAAATAACATCACTGTAACAGTGTAACAAGGAGAAAATGCGGCTAGAACACGGCCACGCAGCCCGGAAACCACACGACACCCGTGATTCCAGCTGTGAAAGCCTCCCGCAACAAACTGATTGCAAGTGAATATCAGAGAACAGAACAACATGAGAAGGGGGCACGGTCATTCTTAGGACCACAACAAAAAGTGGTTGCCCCTGACTCGATAAATAATAATAAATCAAAAAGTGCAAGGCCAAACTGGCCAAAACATCCCAGCCCCCTCCCCTGAAAGGCACATGACTTGAGTAAACAGTAGAACATTCAAATTGGGAAAACGATCCCCTTCTCTCCCTCCTCCTTCCTCTTCCTCCTCCTCCTTCTCTTCCTCACAGGTAGTACAGGTTCTCGGCCAGGGCCAGGTTGGGCTCCCGGTGGATGCTCTGCCCGACCAGGAAGGCCAGCTTGTGCGCGTACTGGCAGGGCGCCGGCACACGGATCACGCCCTGCATGCAAATATGGGGAGGGGGTGTCGTTATCCACCTCTCCAGGCTTTGCCCCCCCACCTTTCTCACAAGGACACAGAGAACAAAGGCAGCTCTACTCAGAGTAGGACCAGCCTGTTGTCATAATGTTTGCATTCTGCTTAGACAACAAGACACAAAGCGATTCACACTTTCAAGAAAGGACAGAATGAAAAACACCCAAAAGGGTCGACTTATACAAACTCCAATATGAAAAAGCAGCTTGGCTCCTCTCTCTCTCTCTCTCTCTCTGTACTAGCCCGTTAGCCCCCTGCCATCCTCTGGGAAGGGCATCCTCCTCCCCCTCCCCCTCCGTGCCCCACCTCCTCCCAGGCGGCTCTTTGGGGGAACAAGGGAGGCGGGACCTTCCTTCCTTCCTTACAGGGGCTGCTCCCCCAGACCTTGGAGACCCCTCCCCTCCAAAAGAGAGGGCCTGGCTGACCAGGGGCCCCAATCCCTGCTGGGCTCTGCTTGCAGGCAGAGAAGAGAGGCCTCTGCCGCCTGATTTTGCGGAGGGAGGGGGAGAGGGAGAGGGGTGGGCTGCTGCTGCTGATGGAGAGAACGTGGGGGGGGGGATTTTGGGAGGATGCTTAACTGTTAAAGCTAATTTAAATGGGGTTCTCATATATGACACAGTATTGAATGGCTTTTTAATTTATTTATTTATTTATTTGCTTTACTTCTATACCGCCTTTCTCAGCCGAAATGGCGACTCAAGGCGGTTTTTAACCGTTGTGTTTGCCTAGCTTTTGAGCTCTCTCACACTGCGCCATGTTATTGTCAGCTGCCTCGAGTCCCTGCCTTGAGGAGAAAGGAAGGTGGGAGAGAAATCAAGGACATGAGGAAATACAATAATTCAGCTGGGAATCAAACGACTCCTGTATTTTGATGCCTGTCTCCAGGTGTATCTGACCTGTGGGTCCCAAAGACACGCCCCCTTCCCCCACTAGGCTCCAGATTTTGAGAAATGCTAGTCAAAGAGGAAGAAAAACGAGAGAAAGATTCCTAGCTGCTGCCAGAGCGGCGGATGAAAGGAACTGAAGCGGTAGCCCCCCCCCCCCTGGCTATATACTCTTTGAGGAGAGTGGGCGGGGCTACCTCCTGAAAGTGGAAGCCCCTCCGGGAATACCATAGGCATGATTCACAGTTAACCACGATGGAGAAACCAATTTTGAAAGAACTAGAGTGGATTCCTTCAAGCTGCCCAACAAGGATTTGCTGCAGTATTTACGTTTCCAAACACAGAAGCAGGATGCTCTGGCTCCCACCCTGGAAGGTCCCCAGCCCACAGACCCATCATGGCCTGTCACTTCCAGTGAGTCATGTTTGTGTATGTTCTGCATTCTGAGCCTGCCTGGTGGGAGGAGGACAAGCCCTGCCAAGGGCATTATTAATTTCCAGTGAACAGCAAAGGGCCTGAGGGCCGCCATACGTACCGGCCAGTTGTAATACATGTGGCACAGCTTGTAAGTCAGCCGCTGCATGTGGTCCGGCTTCAGGGCGCTGCTGTCATAAATTACATTGTAGTGTGTTGGCGCAACGGTCCCACACCTCACCGACTGGCTTACGATGAAAAAATCGTACCTGTTTGGAAGGAAGGAAGGATGGAAGGAGGTCCAGGAGTCGCCCTGGGACAGGGACGCAGACAGGCAAGAGCCCCCTCCTCCTCTCTGGAAACAGGCCCCCTCCCCCTCTGTCTCGGGGGCCAAGGAGGGGCCAGCCACTTGCAAAGGCAGCAGGCGGCTCTCTTAAGGGACCGGGAGGGATTTCGAGCAGCCAGCCTCATATCCCACAGGCAGGGCCTCTGTTGGTGCAGATCGGTTGGCTGGAAAGTGCTTGGCTGCAGCCCCTCCCTCCCTCCCTCCCTCCAGTGACTTTCCTCTTTCCCCTGAAGAGCAGAGAACAAGCCTCCACTCCTTCCAGCTGCTCCTCCTCCATGGGACCTCCCTCCCAAGGCCTTAAACCCGGCTCCCCTTGGCTCAGCCTCTCCTCCTCCTCCTCCAAGCAAAGCTTCCCCTTGCAGCTCCCTCAGCCACTCCTCCTCCTCCTCCTGAGGGGTCCCTTGGTGGCTCCCGGACCCCTGGCCCTTTTGTGAACCCTTTCCAAGCCCCCCTTCCCTCCCTCCCTCCTCACGGAGCCAGGAGATCAACCCCCGCCCCTCAACCACCCATCCCCCTTGCTTGCACAAGCGCTTGCTCTTTCCTCGCGACTCACCATTCTGGCCGGGTCACTTCCACATCGACCACGGTGCCGGGTGGCGGATTCTGGAGTCGCCCGTTGATGTGTGCAAAGAACCTGTTGTTCAGGCGCTTCTTCACTACAATCACCGTCAGTTTCGGGCTTTAGTAAAACCACACAGAAAGTTTACCATTAGGGAGTTAAGACTGCTTTTGATGGAGGCATTTCCCGAGAGAACTCAATGACTACCCTTTATTTTCCCGGAAGAATCCAGGTGGGTAAAGAGCACACCCATTGCTGGCCAATCAAATGCCTGGAAGGTACTGCTGTTACCCAAAGCAGGACCCAACCCCACTGAAGCCAGGGGCCACTGCCAGTCAAGGAGAGCAGGAGAGAGGGTTTGGAGGAGAGATGGAACTCTCTGCCGCAGAGTGAGTGCGGTGGAGGGAGGCTCCTTCTCTGGAGGCTTTGAAGCAGAGGCTGTATGGCCATCTGTCAGGGGCGCTTTGAAGGCAATCTTCCTGCTTCTTGGCAGAATGGGGTTGGACTGGATGATGGCCACGAGGGGGTCTCTTCCAATTCTAGGAATCCAGGATAGGGAAGCCCACCCCTGACTTGCCCCCTCCCTCCCTCCCTCCCTCCCTCCCCCGCCTGTCTCTCCTCCCTCCATATTTGACGTGCAGACGGATCTTCTCAGGGCAACTCCCCTGACGCAAGTGCCCACCCCCTTCTTTCCTGGGACTTCCCATCCCTTGGGTCTCAGAAGACTGGGGAGGAACTCTGCTCTCTTTTCCTGTCAGTCTCCCTTGCTCCTGGAGGAGGGTCTCTCGTGGTTGTCCCCCCCCCACCCGACTGCACGCGCCCTGGGCTTACTTGTAGTCCTGGCCGATGGTTTTTAGGCACTCCAGGAACTGAGGCACTTCGTAGTTGACCAGGGTCTTGAGCTGGCCGTCTCCCACTCCGTCCCGGTAGACGATGATCCTGGAGGGCAAGTGCTGGTTGTGGGTGTACCACGTCCTCAGGGCCGCTTCCAGAGAGAACACCACACAAGCAAGCACAGTGTAAGTGGAAGAGGAGGATGCTCAGGTGCAGCCACTCTGGCAGGCCTCTCTCCCCCAATGACTGGGTGTGCCAGGATCAGGCCCAGCCCAGCCCAGCGTTACAACATTTTCCCAGCAAAGGCAAGACCACTCAAATACCCAGAGGTTACAATGGCATTGTTGCTGTTGACGTTACTGCATGCTTTCCAGCCATTCTGGCTGAGGGCGACCTTACTGCCAGGCTTCCTGAGGCTGAGAGAGTGTGACTGAGAGGCTGAGAGGGCCTCCCACAGGGTTTTCAGGGCCCCTTGTTCCCCAGAGTCAGGTGCCACACTGCTCCATCACACAAGGGAGCCCCCCCCCATTGATACTGCAGTGCCCCAAAGCCCACCATGGGCTCCCCAGCAACTAACTGCCCCTGTGAGAGGAGAAAGGCCGCGGCCCCACCCCCCACGGAGAAACTGCCCCAGGAGGGGGCACCTTACCCTGGAAGCACACTTTGAGCGCGTCCACCACTTCCTGCCCTCGGTCCTGGAGGACGCAGCGCGAATACCAGCTGCGGAGAGACAGGGAGGAAGGCCAGGCTTCAGAAGAGAGAAAGGACTCCTTCGCCCGCCAGGAAGCTCTCCCTCAGGTTGAGTCAGGAGGAGCCCCTTTTCCCGCCCCTTGAACCCAGGGCTCCATGGTGTTGCCGTCTCCAGAGCAGCAGGAAGCAAGCGCACCCTCTTCCTCTTCTCCCTTCAGAGATCTCAACCTAGCTCTCCAGACTGGACACCCCCAAGCCCCTCCACAGGGATTCCTGCCTTTCGAAGCCCTGGTCACTCCACGGCTGGACTTCTGTACTGCGCTTAACATTGGGGCCCCTCTGGACCAAGTGTGGAAACCCCAACCAGTTCCAAATGCAGCAGCCAGACTGGTCCCAGGAACGCCCAGGAGGGGGCCCATCACCCCTATCCTCATGTCACGCCAGTGGCCGCCAATGAGTTTCCGGGCAAAGGACAAAGGGTTGCTTTCGAGGTTTGGGTCCAGGTTCCCTATAGGACTGCCCTGCACCCTGTACAATCCACAGACCCTCAGGGGGTGGGGGTGGGGGCTGTTCCAGGCAGAAAGGACCAGCCTGGCGACCGTCACCGCCCCCCCAAAAGGCGGCGGCAGTGCCCAGGGGACAGCCTTCCAAAGGAAGAGATGCCACAGCAAGATCAGCTGCTAGAATTTAAGGCACCCTTGATGGCCCATCTCTTCCGGCAGAGGCCGAGCCAGACAGTTTTAGCTTGTGGATTGTCATCTGCATTGAGTTTGAACTCTGTGCATCTCATTCTCTTCCTTTTAATTGTGCCTCATCTCTTGTTTCAACGATGTGTCCCACCTCACGCTGCAGGAAGAGGTGGACAATATAATCATTATTACTATTTCTTTTCTCCTCTCACGGATGGAGCCTAGAATGGGGTTTTTGCTTCTTCAGCTGCCGCATCACACTCTTGGCTTCTGTTCCACTTCTGGTCCACGAGACTCTTGTGCCCCTTTCTCGGGGGCTGCTCTCAAGCCAGGTGTTGCGCTCTCCATGATTGTGTTTCTCTTTCATTACAAGCTGCAGAAGGAGCCTTCCCAGGCGAGGCCCAGGCACTTCCCCTCCCTCCCCTCCCCCTCCCCATCCCCCTCCATTACAGACCTGACCCAAAGTCCCCAAGAGCGGCCCTCTACTTTGTATCTCCAGGCCAAGGGAGTCTGCGGAGTGTCCCACCAGCCCATCTGTTCTGGACCCTGAAATGGCCCGTGACTTCCCTCCCCAGAGAAGCCTGTGCCCATCACCACCCACAAGGTCCAGATGGAGGAAATGCCCCACGGGCTCCTCACATCACTGGCCTACGCCCTTTGAAGAGAACATCTCCAGGTACGTTTACAGCAAACCAAGGTACCAGAGCAGTGACTCCCAACCGGTGGGTCCTCAGAGGTTTTGGCCTTCCACTCCCAGAAACCCTAACAGCTGGTCAACTGACAGAGATTTCTGGGGGTTGTAGGCCAAAACACTGGGGGCCCCACAGGGGGAGAACCACTGCACCAGAGGCTCCAAAGAGGTCTCTCTCCAGGCGCATGCACGCCTGATGCAAAAGACAACCAGACGTGAGTGCCGAAGCCACCCCCCTCGGCAACCGCCCGGTGCTCTCCTTACCGCGTCATGCCCTGGTTCAGGCTGGCCACAAATGCCGCAATAGACCGCCGGCCGGCCAGGGTGTCGTGGTAGCAGTCGATGCCCACCACCATGAGCTGCTTCAGCTGGAAGGCAGCAGAGAAACACAGAGCGGGTGAGGGGGGGGAAAGGCCACCGGGCGGCAATGGGATTATCGTTCCTGCTCTCCCCCCCCCAAAAGGCTCCAAAAGTGCAAGGCTTCCTCCTGAGACTGAGCCCAAAGGAGGCCACTCAGGAGGGGCCCCAAGCCCAGCCCAGAAGGGTGTCCCTGGGGAAAGAGGGCCTGCTTCCTTCCTTCCTTCCTTCCTTACAGGGACCTCGACGCTCCAGAGTTCTCCTCCCATCTTGCAGTTCATCTGCAGCGCGATCTTGGTGGCGACGGCCATGACCGTCTGGGGCTTGGCCAGAGTGCGGGCCAGGACGCACTGGCTGGGGGTGGGGCAGTCGCTGCACAGGAACTTCTTGATGGTGTCGTACTTGTCCTTGCGGCTGCTGGACAGAAGGCACACCACCTGTGGGCAGGAGAGCGCCCATACCCTGCGTCACAAGGGGGGTGACAAGGTACCCCCAAAGCCCACCTTCTGGGCTCTTCTGCAGGAGCAGAGCTGGCACAAGGCCCCAGGGCCCCACCCCCACAAAGGATGGAGATCTGGCGCACTCTGCCCTGCAACAACCATGGACCCAATACAGCCCAGCGCACGGGAACCAGGAACGCCAGGCTTTCAGAGCACCCTTTTCTCCCAGCGCTTCTCTCTCACAAAAGGATAAGCATGGCCAGGACCCTGGGATCAATCTATTGCCGTGGAGACAAACCCAGAACGTGCGCCTTGCGGAACCCACTCGAATGTGGGCATCACAAGGCAGAAGAACGGAAAGAGCGGGACCCGAAAGGCGGCTCTTCAGCCAAGAGGACAACCCCAGGCTCTTTTCCACCCTCGCAGTGTGGCATCGCCTGTTGCACACAATGACTTCAGGCTCCCTCTGCCTTCCAGTCCAACCCATTAAGCGTGAGGATTCTTCCCAGGATAGTTCAGGGAGGCCATGAATATCCAAGGCGTGGCTCAATACGCACCATTTGGGTGTCAGAGGTGACGGTCTGCTTCAGGGCTCTCAGGTAGGCCTCCGTCCTGTCTTCCACTTCCACCCTATTGAAGGGAGAGCGTAAGACTTTCAAGGATAGCGTCACAGACCCAAGTGTGGAAAGAATGATCCCCACCCACCCAATCAATGCTGTGAGACTGCGACCCACACTGCCCTTGGCGGCACTGACAAGACAGAGACAGAAGGCCTTGCAAGCCAGGTCTGCAGCACTGGGAAGAGAGCTAGGCACCCCTCCTCCTGGCCATGCAGTCGCTCACACCCTTGGGCATTCTTCCACCCCCTGCCTTGCATTCCCTTCATAGACTAGCAGTTCAGGGTTATTCCTCTGAAATTGGCAGGCTGCCCCCCCCCCCCTGCATTCTGGGAAACCCCCTCTATCAGGTCCCTGGTCCCACAAAACAAGTGGTGGGGCAAAACCAGCCCTGCCTCGAGGCTGAAGGACGCCTCCGGACTGGGCCCCCCTTTGCCACCCCCGAGGTGCCAGTCCTGAGGGAATCCGCTCATGCCCAGCCAGACCCATGCCCTCTGGCCTTCTGGCGCCACTTACATGGTGGCTTTCTTCATCTGGACGCCCATGGCGGGGGTGACCTTGAAGAGGTTCTGCACCAGCGTGTTGGCGGCATCGTAGTTCTGGCGGGGGAAGAGCAGGAGCCAGTTGTCCAGGGGCTTCGCGCTCAGCAGGGGGGCGCCCCTCGTCTCCCGAGACCAGTCGGCCGCCTGCGGGTTGTAGTCAAACTGGAAGGAGCAAGAGAGAGAGAGAGGCGGCCCTGGAGGTGAGCGAGGCCACTGTGGCCCCACTTCTGCCCAAGACTCCAAAGACCCTCGGCCTGGAAGCCCCCCACTCACCACTTTCCCCCCTTGGTGGATCCTCTCGGACTGAACGACTCTCCCCGAGAAGGAGAGCAAGTTGGAGTCGAAGCTCAAGCCCCAGTCGCGCAGCTCTTCCTGGACGTTCTTGTCCCTGGAAGGAAAACCACGGGCCGTTCAGCAAAAGCACTGCTGCGCCTCACGACTCTCACAACGCTGGGAGCGGAAAGTGAACCGGAGGGAGCCGAAGGAGCGTACTTGTTGATGTAATCCACCAGCTTCCCGATTTCGCGCATCCTTTGTTCCGGCGCAAGCCTGGTGTGGACAGCCAGGTCCTTCATGACGGTGAAGTCGCTCCGCATTTTATCCGTCAGCCCTATGACAGACCGTCCTTAGTCCCAAGGAACACCGAAGGGGGGGGGGGGGCGGGAGGGAGCGCACAGTCCCTTCCCAAGAGGGCCTCCCTCCCTCCTCAGGGAACAGACAGAGCGGTGGGCTCCCCTCAGCGCTCAGGCCTGCTCTTCAGGGGCTGCCCAAGCACCCCCTCCCTTGGCCAAAACAGGCACAGGAACGCTCCCTCGAAGGCACACCTCGGTCTCCTCGTCTCCCCGCTGGGCTGCCCCTCTTTCTCCAAAGGAGCCAGCCCTTGGTTCCCAGGTTCCTGCTGAGCTCTGCTGGAGAGAACCCCCCACAAGGCCCCTCCCTTCCTTCCTTCCTTCCTTCCTCCCTTCTCACCAGTCAGGAAGCAGAGTTCTGGGACGAGGGCGGCTGGGCCTGGCACCTCCGTGGCGCCTCCGGGGCCCCTCTTCCTCTTGGGCTGGCTCAGGAGCAGCGGCTGGCTCAGGTCCTTGACCTCCTGGTTGTATTGCTGCAGGGAAAGGGCACCCCAGGCAGGCTCAGGGACCTCATTTGCAACACACTGCGCTGGACTTTCGGGGGGGACGGGGGACGGACGGACTACGGGATATCCACATTTGCATCTATGCACATTATGCAGGTGGGACCCAAGCCTAAAAGCAAACTACTTATGCTTCACCTGCACTTTAAACACATCTCCTGGATTGGTTTCTAATTACTCTGAACCACCAAAACACCAAGGACTCTCTTTTCTCAGCCACCAGTTCTGTGGGCAGTTTTGGCTTCTGAATGGCTTCCCAGTTCTGGGCTCAGAGGGGAAGTGAGGATTGTCCAGCCTCAGGAGCGGCCTGGGTCCCTGGCAGAGCGGCCCCTCCCTCCCCCGCGCAGGCCCAAAGGGAACTCCAGGCCAGTCCCGAGAGAGAGCCCTGCAGAGGAGGGGCCTGGGGGGCAGACTGAGCATGTGCCCCAAATCTGAGCAAGGAAGGCTCCTTATGTTCCCATAGAACATGGTGGGAGTAGAGAGGCCTCTGGCTCTTCAGGAAGGCCGATGGGTCTAGAGAGGGGTCGCCTCGAGTCAGGGGCAAGAGGCCCCTCCCCCAGCCCAGATATTATGCCATGAACCTGCAAAATGGGAAATCTCTTGAGCGCAAAGGCAACTGGGGTCCTCATTCTCAGAGCAAACTGAACCTCTTTCAGGGCCCCTTCCCCTACTTTTGGGTCACAAGTGTTTACTGACAGGTGAAAAGGTATTGTGCAAACAAGCATTCCTGAACTGGGGAAAATCAAGAGTTTTGTTAACTCTACCCCTGGCTTGGTTTACAAGACCTCAATCTCGGAAGGAAACCTTTCTTACCATTTGATAATACTCTATAAAGCTGATTTCTGACCCATCAGCCTTCCTGAATCGATCCTTCGGGCTGGCATCCCAGGAAATGTCATCCACGCGATAAGTCTTGTTGTTATACCTGCAAAAAAAAAAAAAAAAGTGTTTGAGCATTTCTTCCCCAAGAAAAACCCTTGAAGCACCGTGAATCAAGGACGACGCAGGCAAAGAGGCCCCAATGTGCGGCAACTGCGCCCACCTGACTCTCCTGCCACACAGCCTGCCTTAATCAACGCTGGCGTGACTGGAGAACCCACCCGGAAGGTTTTACCTGGTGAGGACGATGAGGCCGACCAGCTCTTTGGCACAGACCTCCCTGAACCTCTGCTCGCCCACTTGATCGTACAGGGAATACATGAAGTCCAGGACGGTCTCGCTCCGGAGGACCTTGTGGCTGACGTCTGAGCACAGCATGACGCTGGTCTCGTACTGCAAGATGGAGGTGGTGAAGCCCGGCCACACCATCAGCCTGTGGTCACAAGCAGAAGGCACGGCCCTTTCACCCACGGCTCTAAGAGAGCGCTCACGGCACGTGGACTCTGAGAGGGGCCGCTCTGCCCTTCAAGCGCATGAGAACCATACAACGGAAGACTGTAAACCCAAGGATGCTGTGCTGCCTTCCGGCTTTCTCTACAAGGCAATGGGTGCCCCCCCTCCGTTCTCAAAGAAAGGCCCCGGAATGTCCCCCAAGCCCCCCCCCCCCACACACACACCCCAATCACGACATA